TTATTGCTTTGAATATGTTTGAAGTCAGGTATTGTTACCTCCTGTTAATGCAGATACTTTAAGTGACTGAGCCAATAGGAGAGGGGACCAGGAACTAGAGAAAAGGTGAGATCAAAAAGAATTAACCTAGAAGGTAACACACATGTACAGGAAAGCAATGCGAGTCAACTCCCTCTATAGTTATCCTTATCTCAACTAGCAAAAACCCTTGGTCCTTCCTATGACCGCTTATACTCTCTTTTCAACAAAATTAGAGATAAGGGCAAAATAGCTTCTGCCTGGTAGTGAGGAGTTATGGGGGGGAGGATGGGGCGGGGGGAGAAATGACCCAAACATTGTATGCACATATGAATAAAAAAAAAAAACTTACTAGATTAAACAAAAAAAGAAAGATGCCAGATTGATTTAGACTCAGGCCTTTGGTAAAAAGTCCTACCCTCCCTGTTTGTTTTCTTGCTCTTCCTTCCCTACTTTCAGGGCCTTTTGAGCAAATTACTTTCTTTTTTTGTAAATCAGTCATCAGCAAAAGGGGTGTGTGCAATGGAATACAACAAAAACATTGAACAACTTTAACCTGGGGCTCAGTACCTCTAACTGAGCTCCATGGGTCCAGGCTAGAGCTTACTGGGGAGCTTTCCCTACGGGTAGTGCATTTGCTCCCAGGTTCCGAAGGGCAATAGAAACCTGCCCCTTACTAGGTTCAGCAGTAGCTTCCTAATTAGTTTCTGTAGTTTGGTTCTTCTTCATTCCATGTTAAATCTAAATCCTTAACATAGATTATATGATTCTGGTGTGGTTATTAAGATCTATTTCTTTCACTTTCAGAAAAGGTCTGGATTAGATGACAAAATTATAATGGCCACCCTAATTATAAGGTACTGGCCATTATCTTCCTCTCCAGCCTCATCCTAAATTACCTCCACTTACCTTGCTCTGTATTTCAGACACAGTGACTGGTCTCCTAATAGCTGGAGTGTCCCCTGCGTTCTCTTCTGCCTCAGGGTCTTTGTACCTGTTAATACTTTTTACCCAGGACCCAGAAATGCTATGTTCCCTTTCCCTAGTTCCTTTCCTTTGTTAATTTTTCTTCTGTTTTTAGGTCAGAGCCTTCCTTGACCATTCTAAGGCAGATCCACTTACTAGGTAGGCTTTAGAGAATTTACTACAGTTAGAGTTTTACACAAATTTGAGTGTAAAAGTTCTATCCTGTTCTAGAGAACTCAATTGAACAAAATGATGCTCAAAGAGGAAGAAACATTTTCATACTCACTTTAAAAGTATGTGGTAGCCAAGTACCCCAACTTTTTTTTTCCTGGTGATGTTGAGGTTTGAATTCAGGACTTCATGCTTGTTAGGCAGGCACTCCACCGCTTGAGCCATGCCTCCAGCCCTACCAGCTTTCTTTACAATTCTGTTTACCATAGAAGGTGCAGTCTGTTAACCTGTGAGTTGTATAAAGCTTGCAGTTACTATTTATTGTTCATATAGATTTTAAGAATTAGAGAAATTTCATATGAAAATATGAATTGCTGGTTTGTTTAAAAATATTATAGGGCCAGGTATAGTGTTTCACAGCTATAATTCCAGCTAGGCAGGAGGAGGATCATAGTACTGAGTAAAAAGCTTTTGACCCTGTCTAAAAAATAAAAGCAAAAAGGACTGAGGGCATGGCTGAAGTGGTAGAATGCTTGCCTAGGACTGGCAGAGTGGCTGAAGTGGTAAAAGTACCTGCCTAGTAAGTATGAGGCCCTGAGTTTAAACCCCAGTACTGTAATAACTACGTACATATATACATCCATAAATAAATAAAGAGGAAGAAAAGGAAATATTAGAGATCTGCCAAAATTGAACTGGCAAACCCAGTTGACAGTGATGGTGGCCATCTACATTGAAATGGTCATTTATGTTATCTGGCATAATGCTACTGAAAGTATGGTCATTGAACTGACTGCTCAACCACAAACTTTGTTACTATCCACAGAGATGAGGACCTTGTACCATTTATTTTAGTTCACCTGACAATTTTTTGGTTGTATCAGTATGTTGATTTATATCCTAGCACAAGCTTCTTGCCTTGTCCTGGACTGGAATTTTGAGTAGTACTAATAGCTGTTCTGGAAAATATTTGAGTTTGCAACACCTGATTTTCACAATTTTCTTTGAAATGTCATTGCAAAGTAGCATTCAGAAGTTGTAAGGCAATAATTATGTTACTATGTATTGCACTTAGGTAACACAATTCAAACTTATAAGGTCATTACTTTTTTCTTTTTCCATTTTTTTTGGCGATACTGGGGTTTGAACTTAGGACCTCATGCTTGTCAGGTATGTGCTTTACCACCTGAGCACTCTGCCAGCTATTACGTTTCTTTAATAGAAGTTTTCTCAAGTTTTTAAACTGCACAAGGGCTTTTGTCATATTGACAAAGTTGCACAACCATCACTGTTGTCTTACTCCTAAATTCTGTTTAATTTTGCCTGCTTTTAGTCTTTTTTTTTCATTCTTTTTTATCCTTCCCAGTGTATCACTGCAGCATATAAAATTAGTTTGTTTTATGGTTAGAGGTATTAACTTTGATCACTTTGTTAAGGTAGTATTTGTTAGATTTCTTCATTTTAAGAGTTACTGTTTTCTCTACCATAATTAATAATTTACGGGGAAATATCTTGAGACTGTGTAAAATCCTGTTTCTCATTAAACTTACCCACTTTTTAGAATCCACCGATAATTCATGGTGATTGCCAAATGTAATTTCCTAAGTCTTTCACTTACTTCTGCATTTATTATCATTGAGTATAAGTAAGCTGTTCCCCTATTGTCAATTTATACAAGTATGGACTCATGTATTTTTTTATTCTGTAGTCTGTTATTCCTTGTTAGCATTCTGCATACAGATTGTTCCAAATTTGGACAGTGGGAGTCCCATCAGGCTGGCTCCAGTGTACTTTTGACTAGTCCCTATCTTCCTTTGAACATGGCCTATTTTCTGAAAGGATTAAATTACCACAGGCTTATCTTGTACTTTCCTTACTCCAAACATGGACTGGCTGATTATCCAAGGAACTCTAACTTCTTTTAGTGGAGAGTGGTACTTAGAAATCAAGATATGGAGCTCTAGGTATGCTTATTGTTATGGGAGTGTCACTGCTGGGCTCTTACTGTATCTTTTGAAATTCCATTATAGCCATCCTCTTTCTGTTTGCTGATGCTTGTATTGAAATTTCATTCCTCCCTCCCCACCTTGAGGGATTGATTCCATGTTTTTGGTAATTGTGTCCACTGTTCCATGTCTCTATAATTTGCTCTACAAATATTTAAGTGACTATAACTATTATATTAATCCATAATATTCCTCATAATCATACAGTTCTAGTTAGAAGGACCCTAGACAATCATGGCTAATCCGTTACTTTTACAGATGGAGAAACTAAGACCTAAGAACTGAAGTGACTTGCTTAGATTCATGACTAACTGATTATTGAGCCAAGATTAGAGACCAGTATCCCAAATCCTATACTAGGACATTCTTTCTTTGGATAATAGAGGGATAATAATGGTACTTTCCTAAAGTTTCTACAGTTACTGGATGGATATAGTGGTCTTTGTTCTATCATGACACTCAGACATCTAGATGGGCATTTCATTCTAGATAAGTTTTTTAAATAATTGGTCATTTGATGACCAGAAGGGTCATCAAAGAAGGGAAAGAAGGGAACAGAAAAGAAGATGGGACAGAACAGAAGTTTGAGAATGGCCAGCTATCTGACCATACAGTTTAAGGCCAGAATTCTAAGAAGTTTCAATGCCTTTCCTACCTTTTATAGTCCCATTTACTGGCTCTTTGCCTTCTCTTCTCATCACCGTGCTTATATAAATAAGGTTTGTTGCTTTTCTTTTTTAAGATTCTTAGTTTAAGCCAGGTGCTGAAGGTTGGAAGCCAGCCCTGGGCAAACAGTTCAGAAGTCCCTATCTCAAAAACACACAACACAAAACTGGGCTGATGGAGTGGCTCAAGTGGTAGAACACTCTTAGCAAGCCTGAGGCCCTGAGTTTAAACACCAATAGTGCCCCCCTCCCCCCTGCCAAAAAAAAAGAAAGAAATGTCTCAAAAAGGCAAAATTACAGAGATAGAACGTCTATTAGTGAACTGGGGGTAGAAATGAGGAATGGCTTGCAAATAGGCATGAAATTCTTATGGGGGATTGATAGGAGTATTCTAAAATTGGATTCTGGTGATGGTTGCAGAACTCTGATAATGTACTATAAACTATTCCTTTGTACATTTAAAAGTTGGATATGGTGACATACAACAATAATCCCGGCACTTCAGAGGTAGAGGCAGGCAGGTTGAAAGTTCAAGGCTAGCCTGTTGAGACCTTGTTTCACCCACTCCACCCTGTAAAAAAAAGTTGCACTTTAAATTTAATGTCTGGAATAGTTGTTATATTTAGGTATATTATCATACTTCCATTATCGAACATTTTTATGTTGCTTTCTTTCCATTTTAAAATATGATTTTCAGAGTGTGCTAGTGTCAAATGATACACATAATAGTGTTTGATACTAGTTAAAAAAATAGCATTTATAAAATAGTTACTATGCACCAGGCATTATGTAAATACTTTTCACCGTTGTATTGTGATACAGGCACTACTACCCTCATCTTACAGCTGAGGAAACTGTCAAAGTAGTAACTAAAGTTACTGTCCAAAGTCTCACAGCTAAGTAAGTGGACAATCAGGCAGAAATTGGAACAGAGAGTCTTTTCTTCTTTTTTACTTTTTAGAACAGAGGTACTCTTTAAATCTGTGTTTCACGTATGAATATGCAACGTCTTATGTGGAAAATTGCCTTTCATATGCTATGAGGGTATTAAACACCTATGTGTGTATACCAGTGCACTGAATGCTTTGTGTAACTATTCATGCGTGATCTCCAGAAAAATCAAACGGGCTTAGTGAATCTTACTAATCAGTTTGACTTCTTTCTCTCCACTCAGTCTTAATTTTAAAGACCCAGAAGCAGTCAGAGCTCTGACTTGTACCCTCCTAAGGGAAGATTTTGGACTTTCTATTGATATTCCGTTGGAGAGGCTAATTCCCACAGTTCCCTTGAGACTCAACTACATTCATTGGGTGGAAGATCTGATCGGTCACCAGGACTCTGACAGAAGTACTCTCCGAAGAGGAATTGACATAGGTACATAATTTTTTTTTTGGTGGTAGTGGGGTTTGAACTCAGGGCCTTATGCTTGATAGGCTTGCTAGGCAACCACTCTACCACTTGAGCCACTTCACCAGCCTTGGTACATCCCTTTTTGGTTAAAAGTAAGTTTCATGTTTTGCAAGGTCAAACTCTTTATAAACTTCTCTACTGTGTATTTATCGTGTAAGAGAAGTGGGCCACAGATGCTACTATTTTTATTCCCTGCACCTTGGGTTTTCTGCCATTGATTTCTCTTGAGAAGAAGTTGTCAGCTCCAAATAGGGAACAAGATAGGTAAGAGAAGAGAAGAATGAGAGAAATGCTTTTGTTACTTAGCTTTTCAGATTACCACATTGATGTCATGTTTACTTGGGCATATTACTCTTAGTTGAAGTTAGTATAGCAGTCCTCATTCTAAGATTTTGAAATGATAGCCATTTAATAAAAGATCATGTGGGCCTGAATACTTTCAGAAATATCTTAGATAATTATTTGTAGAGGGTACATAATCCAAGATTAAAGAGAGGAAAAAGTCATTGAGTTAAAGTAAGATTTGCTTTTTGTAGCGATACTAGGGATTGAACTCAGTGTTCAGGCTTGTTAGGCAAGCACTCTTCCACTTGAGCTATGCACCAGTCTTTGCTTTTAGTTTGTTTTTTCAAATAGGGTATCTTTAGTTTGTCCAAGCTAGCCTTGGACTAGGATCCTTCTACCTCCCTCTTCTAAGTAGCTGCGATTACAGCTACGCCCCTCATACCATCTAATATATTCTCTTAAATTGTAAACTTTTGTAATAGAGAAGGCTGTCCAGTTTTATTCATTTGATAGAGTAATTGGAGATACAGAAGAACATGAATACAGGGCATGTTTTGTAATTATAATGTAAGGGACGATCAGATGGGGATTTGAACAGAGGTACTCTTAATCTCTTGATAGTTTGTTGCAGCCAGTCTTTTTATTTGATAAGATTTTCAAAATTTTCTTTTAACCCTTTGGCCTTTACTAGTCCCTTATAGGAAAGATTAAATTAATAGTTGTGGGACCCTGTTTCTAAATACAGTATAGTCAGTAGCAATCCCAGTTTCCAGATTGTAGTAAGTATTTAATGTTGACATTTGCATGCATGTTCAGTCTTCATTGTACATGACCTTTCCAGCAACATTTAATTGACCCCCTCCTTTTTATGTACTATTCTCCTTTTGCTTCCATGACACTAGGCTCCACTGGTTTTCTTCATTTGTTTCTGCTCCTTCTTTTCTCCAATTTTCAGGCCTCTCTTCCTGTATTTGACTATTCACTATTGATAATACTTAAAGCTCTTTCTTTAACCTCTTTCTCATTCAGTCTCCTACCTTAGCAGTTTTATTCCTCTGTGTGTGTGTGTGTGTGTGTGTGTGTGTGTGTGTGTGTGTGTGTGTGTATCTATCTATCTGTCTGTCTTGGCAGTTATTGGGGTTTGAACTCAGGGCCTTGTGCTTACCAGACAGGCACTCTACCACTTGAGCCATGCCTCCAGCCCTTTTTGCTTTTATTACTTTTTGAATAGGGTCTTGCTTTTATGCACAGGCCTGCCTGGAATGGTTGGACCACAATCTTCCTATATATGCTTACCTCACAACTTGAACGACAGGCATAGGCTACCATGCCCAGCTTTTTATTGGTTGAGATGGAGTCATGCCAACAACTTTTTGCCTGGACTGGCCTCAAACCATGATCCTTCTGATCTCCGTTTCCCAAGTAGCTATGAGTACATGTGTGAGCCATTGCATGTTTATGACCTTACTACCTGCCTTGATGTAATATATCTATATATTACATCATTATATATACATTATATATATATATATATTCCTCTGACTCAGGTTACTTTTCTTGACCTCAGCTCTCGTATACATGAGAAACTTGGATGTCTCAAAAGTGTCTCAGACGTGCTATGTCCAAGATCAGACTCATAGTCTTCGTTCCTAATCCTCGTTCTCCTCACTTCTAATTTCAGTGAATCTTCCACAGTCTGCTTTCCCTCATGAGGCTGGGGTTTGAATTTGGGGCTTTGCACTTGCGAAGTAGGTGCTCTGCCACTTGAGCCACACCTCCAGTCCATTTTGCTTTGGTTATTTTGGAGATGGGGATCTCAAGAACTATTTGCCTGGGCTGGCCTCAAACAGAGATCCTCCTGATCTCAGCCTACCAAGTAGCTAGGATTACAGGCATGAGTCACCAGTGCCTGGCCTTTTTTGTCTGTTTGTTTGCTTTGACATGTTGTCTGTGTTGCCCAGGCTGGCCTCCATCTTCTGGGCTCAAGTGGTCCCCTGCCTCGGCCTCTGGAGTAGCTGGGAATACAGGTGCACTTACCACACTTGACTTTCCTAAATATTTAAGTTTTCTACTTTTCTCCATCTCTACTGCCACCACTCCAGTCCAAGTCATCAACATCCCTCACTTTGTGTGCAGAGGTGCTCTGTATGTGCTCATCTACTCAGTTGCCCCATCCCATTCCCCTCTCTGCACTTCATTCCCCTCTCTGCACTGCATCTAGTAAGTATGTATAAATCTGCATCTGCTTTCCTCTTTATCACGTAATGGTTTCCTTTTGCTTTTGTGATAAACACCCAAAACCTTGACTTTGCCTGCTAGAATTTCCATTGCCTGACCCATGCCATTTTCTCTTAATGTCAACATTCCATTGTTTTCTGCACTTGGCTTTTAGTTCATCTAATAAGGCATCGTGACCCCAGGCCTATGTATGTTATTCCCTGTGCCTGGAACTTCCCCCGTCTTCACCTTGAGCCTGCTTCTCGAGCCTGCTTTTGTCAGGAAAGCTTTCTCTTGTCTTTCTAGCCTGGGACAGGTTCCTTGGTTATATATAGTAAGCTTTCCTAAAACCCCTTCATGGCATTTATTTCAGTGTTAAACTACACATTCACCTAATGGGTTGCTTAATTTTTTTTTTCCTTTTTGCAGTATTGGGGCTCGAACTCAAACCTTGAGCCACTCCACCAGCCCTTTTTTGTGGTAGGGTTTTTCGAGCTAGGATCTCTTGAACTTTGCCTGGGTTGGCTTTGAATTCCAGTCCTCCTGATCTCTGCCTCCTGAGTAGCTAGGATTGTAGGTGTGAGCCATTGGTGCCCAGCCAGTTTGATTAATATTATCCTCTACCACTAGATTGCTAGATTGCACTAATTTTTGGTTATTATATTCCAAGACCTAGGAAGGTTTCTGTACATAGTATGTGTCCAAAAAATGATCTATTGAATGTTGCTGTGTAAATGAATCATTCTTTCTATATTCAAAATTCTGAGCATTTCCTATGACTGAACACTAAAAACAGTGGAATTTACCTAAAGCCCTTACCCTTTTATATTCATGGCAGATGGGTCATAGAAAGCTTAAAAAGCTGGATAAGCTGGGTGTGATGGTAAATGTCTGTAATCTCAGCAATCAGGAGACAGAGGCAGGAGGATTTCAAGTTTGAGGCCAGCCTGAGCTGCACAGTGTGACCCTCTCAGGAAAAAAAAAAAAGCTTGACAGCCTATTTGGTACTAATTTGATTTTAATTATGCCCCAAACTCTCTAAAATAGCACTTGGGGATATAGGAGGTTAATGGATTTTAGTTCTTCACAAGGGGCAATGCTTGCTAAAATCACATTCATTCTAATTAGGGTTTTATATATATTCTTCCCCCAGACTCCATCAGTTTGCTCTAATTCTGTGATTATATATTTTCCCATTTTTATTTATCATTATAAAGATTATTACCCACTTAAAATGTCATTTGGCTTTCTGAAGGAATTCAAATACCACATTGTAAGCTTTTTGGGCTTGAAAATTGAACTTTTTTGGGGATGCAAGGTATGGGTGTTTTACCTACATTTATTACTCCAGAGGTAAGAGCACTTTTTTTTTCCCAATGAAATTAAAGTATGAAGAGAGAGGCAGTTGTATGAGAGTCAAGGGCTTAGGATCTGGTCTGGATTTTTTTTTTTTTTCCATAGAGTTGAAAATGCTACTGTTCTGAATGACTGGCTGGCAAGAATTGCTTCCCAGGGCTAAATAATTTGGCTTGTAGAGGAGCCTGAGTACCCTTTATCCTCCTTCCTCTGTCCTTCTCACAAATCCCCAATTATTAGGGCCAGTAGAGTTGGGCAGCAATCCCTGGGACTGTCTTAAGAGCTTAAATGTTATAACCATGCCCTCATGCCTATAATCCTAGCTACTTGGGAGACTAAGAACGGGAGTATCTTGGTTTGAGGCCAGCCCATGCAAATAGTTCAAGAGACACCACTTCCAAAATAACCACAGCAAAATGGACTGGAGGTGTGGCTCAAGCAGTAGAGCGCCTGCTTTGCAAACCCCAGTCCCACCAAAAAAAAAAATGTTGTGACCATTAGTCACTGGCCTTTTTTTTTTTTTTTCCTCTGTTCAGAATACCTCATGAGGAAGCAATAAGATGAACTTGAGTTTCCTTTGCATTGGGAGTAGCTCCAGCCCCTACCTCTTCCTACAAGATCCTTAAGAGCTAGACAGGAACCAGGATGTGATTAGGGGAACACAGCCTGGTGCGATTGGTTTAGGTGACTGCTGTAGGCCTTCTGGAGAAGACTGGCTGTCCTTGCTAAGGTCTAATTGGCCAAGATTAGTTAGTTTTTGTAAAAGCAATATTTGTGGTTGACATTTAGACCAGTCTAGGGCTAGGGGTTCTACATTCAAGTTTAGGACCAAAACCTAAATGTCAAGAGTGATTTTTGCCTGGAGCATCAGCCTCTGAATGTCCCCTGAACCTGTGGTAGAGCTAGCAAGTGATTGACATTTTATGGTAATGTGGGGAATTAGACCATTTGATCTCATGAAAATTTTATATTCTATATATTTTTTTCTGCTTTTGGAGAATGGAGAATGAGATATACATCTGTCTGTTTTTGTTTGTTTTGTTTTGTTTTTTGAGACAGGGTCTTGCTCTATAGCCCAGGCTGGCCTCAAACTTGAGATCCTTTTGTTTCTGCCTGCCAAGTGCTGGGATTACAGGTGTGTACTACTGTGCCCAGGGTACATTGATCTGTTTTAGGATATTACTGTGTTAATATCAAGTAGCTATTTTAACCAATAGCATTGAATCCTTTTAAGAAAATTAAGTTTTGTGAGATTTAAAATGAAGACTTTTTTTATAAAGCAAAATAAACTTAATTTTCACCATTTTTAGTTAACCAGTATTATATCCCTCAGCCTTCAGTTATGTGCATTTCATTTTTACAAGCGATGTACCCAGGAAGAGGGTAGAAAGGTTTCTGTACTTTAGAAGTTTGACTCTGCTTCTAAGATAAGGTTCACATACATGGAATGACTAGAGAACCCAGCAGCCCCCGTATGTCTTGGCTTGTGATTTATACTATGAGAACCAAGAGAATTCTGAGAAAAGAAAAATGGTGTTTTCATTATTCTCCCTTATCCCATTTGTGTGTAGAATGTGTTCTGAATTTTCACTTTACTAGGTACTGGGGCATCGTGCATCTATCCCTTGCTTGGAGCAACCTTAAATGGCTGGTATTTCCTTGCAACAGAAGTGGATGATATGTGCTTCAACTATGCCAAGAAAAATGTGGAACAGAATAATTTATCTGAGCTCATAAAAGGTTAGCTCCACAGAAGAAATATCCCCTTTGTTTATTAACCTTTCTAACACGTCTTGCTATCTTTTGCTTAACGGCACAGGCTTTGATAATTTTTAAAAATTTGGTTCATTGTGATTGGATTTACTGTTTTGATACCAGAATTAACTTCAGGAAGAATATAGTAAGTATAGACAATCCTCATTATTTCTGGATTCTGCATTTGTGAATTTGCCTACACGTTGAAGTTTATTTAAAATTTAATTAAGTAGATTTTCTTTAGTGAATGTTTTAAGATTTGGAGTATGTCCTTAAATGGTTTCTGTGTGTATAGCTTCATAGAACTTATAGAGCAATTCACAGTAAAATTGAGTGGAAGTTATAGATTTCCCGTGAACCCCCAGCCTTCACATATGCACAACTTCCCCCATTATAAACATCCTGTGCTACAGTGGTACACTGGTTAAGATCAGTGCACTTATATTGACAAGTCACTGTTACCCAAAGTCCATAGTTTACATTAACATTAACTCTTGGTGTCGTACATTATGTGGTCTGGGACAAATAGAAATTAGACGTATCTGCCATTTCAGTGCCTTAAAAATAATGGGTGCTCCATGTTTTCACCCCTCTGTACCCTCACAGCCCCTAGGAGCCACTCATCTTTAATCTTATCCATAATTTTTGCATTTTCCAGATGTCATATAGTTGGAATCCTGTATTATTATAGCCTTTTTACATTGGCTTCTTTCACTTAGTATTCATTTGCATTTCCTCCATGTCTTTTCATAGTTTCACAGTTCTTTTATATTTAGCACATTTCTTTTTAAATATCCCATTGTCTGCAAATGTCACAATCCATTCACCTCCTGAAGGACATCTTGATTGCTTCCAAGTTTTGACAGTTATGAATAAAGTTACTGTGAACATGCATGTGGGTTAAGTGTTTTGGCCTGTTTTTTAGTTGTTTTTTTCATTGTTGAGTTTTAAGAGTTCTTTGTGTATTTTGGTTACATAGTTCTATCTCTGATACATCTTTTGAAAATATTTTTCTGTAATTTGTCTTTTTATTCTCTTGACAGTGTCTTTCACAGAGGAAAAAAACCCAAAAAACTAGTATTAGTGAAGCCCAGCTTATTCTGTTTGACCTTCGATGTTGTGTGTAAAAAGGCCATCTAGTTATCTTCTGGAGTTAACTCTTATTTTCAGGAGTTTTGTTTATTTATTTTGCAATATGGGGGTTTGAACTCACCCTACATCTTGAAACACTCCACTAGCCCTTTTTTGTGATGGATTTTTTAAGATAGAGTTTCGCCAACTATTTGCCTGGGCTGACTTCAAACCTCGATCCTCCTGATCGCTGCCTCCTGAGTAGCTAGGATTACATGTTTGAGCCACCTGCACCAGGCCTCACTAAGATTTTAAACAGAAAAAGACCCTACTCTTGATTAAACTGTATTATTTTTTGAGACATGGACTCCTATGTACCCAAATGGTACATTCTCCTGCCTCCGGCTCCTGAGTGCTGGGATTACAGTCATACACCACATGCTGGCTAAACTATGCTATCTTTTCAATTTCAGTACATAGAAATAGTCAAATCCCTGTGTGATCATTTACTGTTTTTGTGCCCATCATATGAAGTGCTGTCAACTATTTTTATTAAAGTGATTCTGCTATGTCTGCTTATGAAAGAAATAAGGCTCTCATAGTACTGTTAAACATACTATAAGGGGAAATACTAATATTGTTAATGCATTTGTTTTAATTCTCCATTATTGTGTAACAGGTTATTGCAAAATCTTGCCCTTTAAACAAGCATTGATGATCTCATAGTTTCTCTGGGTTAGGATTGGGTGTACTTGCATGGTTCTGATTAATCTTTTTTCCTCAGATTGCACTGCAGTTGTAGGCTACAACTGTCATTTGCAGGATTGAGTGGTGACAGAGATATGCTTCCAGAATGGCTCACTGACATGGCTGCTGGAAGGAAACCTTAGTTCATTGCCACTTGGATCTCCATAATCTCATGGAGCAACTAGAGTGTCCTTAGAGCACATCATTGGCCTGCCTTTCTTTCTTTCTTTCTTTCGTGGGACTGGGGTTTGAACTCAATGCTTTGTGCTTGCAAAACAGATGCTCTACCACTTAAGCCACACTTCCAGTCCATTTTTCTCTGTCTATCTTGGAGATGGGGTATCTCTTGAACTATTTGCCAGAGGCTGGCCTTGAACCACGATCCTCCCCAACTCAGCCTCCCAAGTAGCTAGGATTATAGGTGTAAAGCACTGAATCCCTGCTTGTCAGTGGCCTTTCTTCTAAAAAGTACTCAATGGAAAAAACAAGGGAGAAGTCTTTTTGTCACCTCTTTCATTTTTTTTTTTTTTTGATAAAATTGAATCACTAAGCACAATCTACTTGCAAGGAAGAAAATTAAACTCCACCTCTTGAAGAGAGTAGAATCAGAATTTATGCACTTTTTTTTTCTGTTTTGTGCACATATTTTATTTCATTTTTTATTGAGGCTGGGGTTTGAACTCAGGGCTGTGGGCTAACAAAGCAGGAGCTGTACCACTTGAGCTACATCTCCATTCCATTTTGTTCTGGTTATTTTGAAGGTGGGGGTCTCATGAATATTTGCCTGGGCTGACCTTTAGTCACAATCCTCCCAATCTCGGCCTTCCAAGTAGATAGGAATACAGGTGTGAGCCACCAGCTCCTGGCTTGTGCACACACTTTAGAGCCACCACAGCATTAATAGTGGTTAACAGTTCCTGTTTTTTCTCCTAGTGGTAAAAGTGCCACAGAAGACACTCCTAATGGATGCTCTTAAAGAAGAATCTGAGATAATATATGACTTTTGCATGTGTAATCCTCCTTTTTTTGCAAACCAACTGGAAGCCAAGGTAAAATATCTTTTGCTATAAAGCCATTGAATAGTTATCTAAATTTGCAGAGATAAGAGCAAAAGACAGATTTTACTTTGGAAGTTATATCAGGATTTTTTTAGTTGAAGTCCTTTAAAAACCCAATTCATATTGACTTAACAGTGAAAAAAGTTTATTGGCTTATGTATCAGAGAAATCCAGGTGTAGTTTGGGCTTTAAGAACAATTCGATTAAGGAATTCACAGTATCATAATATTGAGGCTCTGTTTTTCCAGGTTTCTCTTGGCTCTGATCTGGTCCTTGGCTGGTTTTGTTCTCAAGCTGATTTAGTTATGGTGAAAACTATATTTAGGGTGGTAGGGTTAGGAAGGAGCTCTTCTTTTCTCCAAACCATTAAACATTTGATTTTCTTCTAATGGGACCAACTTAGGTGACAGTTCACTCCTCGACTGAGCATGTTTGCTTAGGGAGGAAATCACTATTTTTGCTGCCATTTGATAGTAAGTAAATGGCCAATTTGATATTTCTAACTTGAAGGAAAAATACATTTATTCACAAATATTGAAAGAAAAGAACTAATGTATTTTTAAAAAAACCCATAATACTTATAAAATATTATTGATTTAGCCTAAGTTTCACTTCATTTCATGAACCCTCTGTTAATAATAAAAAGTAACTAAATATTAGCCAGGCATAGTGGCACACATCTGTAATCCCATCTCCTCAGGAGACAAAGACAGCCTAGGCAGAAGTTATCGAGACCCTATCTCAAAAACAAGTAGGTGTGGTGGTACAAGTCTGTGGTCCCAGCTACTTGAGAGGCAGTGGTAGAAGGATCTTGGTTTGGACAGTCCAGGCAAAGTTAGCAAGAAACCCTATCTGAAAAACAAAATACAAAAGGACTGGGGGCATGGCTGTAATGGAAAATTGCTTTCCTAGCCAGTATGAGGCCCTGAGTTCAGTTCAATCCCCACTACTGAAAAAAGAAAAAAAGAAAAAAAAAAAAAAAAACTAATGTTAATCAGGGGAAATGGGTAATGTGTGTACTGTAGACTTTTGAAAGAATAGTTTGTTTTTATAATTACAGAACAAGTCCAATTCAAATGGCTCATAACAAAATCCAGATGGATCAATTTTTTTGGTATAGTGGGAAAGTTGGACAGAAATTTATTAGTAATATGAACACTACAGATTAGAACATAAGCGAAGCATGATTTAAGAAATTTAAATTTTAACCTTCAATGCAGATTCATTATATGAACAAAAATAACTACATCTTAGAGTACAGTTTTTAAAAAAATACTCAGTTGCCATATATACATAAAAGTACACATGGGTGGGGATGTGACTGAGTGGTAGAATGCTTGCCTATCATGTGCAAGGCCCTGAGTTTAATCCAAGCACAAAAAAAAAAAAAGACAAAAGCATATGTCACAAGTACATACTGGATTTTCCAAAGTGAACACTTCCGTGGACCAGCATCCAGATGGAATATGTATATTAGCATGCCATATAATTCACCCATTTAAAATACAGGATTTGGGCTGGTGGAGTGGCTCAAGTGGTTGAGTGCCTGCTTAGCAAGCATGAGGTCCTGAGTTCAAACCCTAATGCCAGAAAAAAAAAATACTCATAAAATACAGGATTTAATGATTTTTAGTATATCCCCAAAGGTGTGCAGGCATTACCAGTCAAATTGGAACATTTTCATCAACTCAAAAAGAGCTCTTACCCATTAGCAATCACTTGTTCCTGCTCAGCACCCTGAGGCCTAAGTACCTTGTGTCTTAGGATTTGCCTGTTTGGGCATTTCATATAAATGGAATCATACAATATATGCCCTTTCATGTCTGACTTCTTTTATGGAGAATCAACTATTTTCAAGGTTCATCTGTGATGTAGCATGTGTCCGAATGTCATTTCTTTCTTCCTTTTTTTGGTGGGACTGGAATATATACTCAGGACTTCACAAGCACTCTGCTGCTTGAGCCACGCCTCCAGTCTATTTTGCTCTGGTTATTATTAATTATTGCCATCCTAGTGGGGGTGAAGTGATGTCTCTGTGCTTTTGGATAGTGTTTTCCTCATGGCTGATGTTGAGCATTGTTTCCTGTGCTCCTTGGCCATTTGTTAATTTCTTTGGAGAAATGCCTGTTTATATCCCTTGCTCCCCATGCACCCTCTTTTTGCCGTGCTGGGGATTGAACCAGGGCCTGAGCTTGCTAGGAAACTACTCTACCACCGAGCTAATATAACCCAGCTCTTCTCATCTACTTTTAAATTGGTTTAGTTATTTTTCTTTCTATTACTAAGTTGTAAGGATTCTTCACATATCCTAGGTACAAGTCCCTTATTAGATAACAATTTACAAATACTTTCTACCATTTTATAAGTTATCTTCGCTTTCTTGATGGTGTCCTTTATAGCTCAGAAGTTTTAAATTTTGATGATAAAGTTCAACTTAGGGTTTTTTTTTTGTTTTTATGCTTTTTGGTGTTGTAGCTAAGAAACCATTGGCTAATCCAAGTTAATGAAGATTTACTTCTATGTTTTCTTCTGAGAGTTTTAAATTTTTAGCTCTTACATTTAGGTTGTTGATGAATTTTAAGTTTACATTTTCATATGCTGTGAGGGTAGGATGGGTTAAATATTTAAATATAAAAACCATAAAAGTACTAGAAGAAAACATGAGTAAATATTTATTTAATCTTTGAGTAGATTTCCTGTGCCTTGGTATCAAGACAGAAAGCATAAAGGAAAAGCAACAGATTGGGCTATATAAAAAGGTAAAAATTTTTTATATTTAATCACAAAGATGGAAGGTAAAATCCTCAGGAAGGAATACTTGCATGAATGCAATTGTTTATAATATTGCAGTGGCTATTAAATCCTAGTTTTAGCATGATGTTTGGAAAGTAAATTTACATGTACTCATTCTTACAGCTAGATTACATTCAAAGACTTGATTATTCAGATGTAAAATATTTCATCATGGTGTTGTTGTTGTTGTTGTTGTTCAGGGGGTAAACTCTAGAAATCCTCGAAGACCTCCACCTAGTTCTGTAAATACGGGAGGTATCACAGAGATCATGGCAGAAGGAGGTGAATTAGAGTTTGTTAAAAGGATCATCCATGACAGTCTGCAACTTAAAAAAAGATTAAGGTAAGTTGGTTACTACAACAAAGAGTATTTGTCCCCTGTGTAATTCTTAAGGAAGCCAAGTCACTCAGAGGAAAAGTAATCACTGAGGTCTGAAAGAATAGACAAATAAAGATTGAAAAGAAAGGGGCTCCACATTCTGCAAAGATCCTGTTTCTGAGGATGTTCTCATGCTTTTAATTGATATGATTTTCCTGTAGTCACCTATACATAGATAAAAAGGAGGAAGATACCATATGATTGTATTGTTCCCACTAGTGAAGTCCTGTGATAGAACAAAACTGATTCAAATACGGCTTTTGATTAGAAAACAGATGGGTTCAAATCTGTCCCATGAACCAGAATAAATTTGTTGCCTAGTCCTTGAAGCAGTTTATGTTCTTGGAATTAGTCTGCCAAACAGTGACAGAGTTAAGAACACTGAGCTGTCAAGAACTTAATGAAGGGAGATTACTAGTCAGTTCCAGAAGAGAGGTGAGGCTATTCCTTTTTAAAAGCTAATTCTTTAGGGTAACACAGTTGTCATTAAGCAGCTCTCCTCTTCCTCTTATTCCCTCCACCTCTCCTCTCCCCATATTGTGTCCAAAGTTCCATTTGAACTATAGAAATAAGTTTTAAAGGAAACTATTTTAAGGGGTAGAAATTGATTCAGTTGATTCCACATATTTCAAGTCTGCCTGCACCTGGTCCTATCGTAGCCACTAAAATAAAAAATATACATTTGCTAGCAAGGATAAATTATAAGAACCCATCATGCCTCTGGATAGTTGGCCATTTAAGGGAAATGCTATCTACTTAGCATTTATTTAAAAACAGGGTTCAGTTGTCTGGTCTGTTAGGATTCAGGCAGGTTTAGAGGGAAGATAAAGAAAAGAAAACATGAAGTAATTTTTATTGAAAAGAATAGAGCAGTATTTTTTTGCAAATAAAAATATTTGTTTTAATAATAATGGTGAGTTAAATAGGGTCATTTAATTTTTGAGTGTTCTAGGAGTCCAGTAGATTTAAATGCCCACTGTGTTGAAAGGAAATGTTATAGGCGCTTTGTTTTTCTTTTTTTAAGGTAGAGCTTCCGTCCTTCCTCTTTTTTTGGGGAGCGGGGGAGGTACTGGGTTTGAACTTGGGCTCTCACTTGCTAGGCAGACACTGTACTACTTGAGCCATTCCACCAGCCCCTCTTTCTGCTTTTTTAAATTAGATGCTTACATGGGGTGATGTAAATGATTGTAGAGAATGATTGTAGGTTTTGTAATAAGCTTTGAGTTAATTATCTATCTAAAAGATCATTCAGTTCTATTACAAACTTTTATGTGCCTTTATAAAAGAATAAACTACATCATTTTCCTTGTTTGTAAGTTTGGGATAATACTTTTTGCAGTTACGAGAATTAAATAAAATTTTATGTTAACGTATCCATAGACTACAAAGTACTGTAAAAATGTTAAATAATATTACCATTAGTTATAATTTTGTTATTTCTTAAAAAACAAAGCCATACTTACAGAAAGTCAGCACTGTGAAGCAAGTATTAGCTGATTTGGGGTGCATTTCCAATCAGTTCTTTCCCTTTCCTTATTCATGTGGTTGTAAAGATGAATGCAAGTGATTTTGTTTTCTGCTTTTGTTTTTTTACTAACCCTTCAAAATTCCCTTTTTTGTGTGTGTGATTAATGGTATGTACAGCAGTAATTTTAAGTAGGGTGACAACTGTCCTTTAACCAATACCTTATTATTGGACATTTAGATTTCTTATTTTCACTTATGAAGAACAAACCACTTCTCTTGTGTCAGAGTGGACAGCTTCTCTCCTTTCTTACTGTACTGCCATCTGTCCAGACTGTTATGGGTGGCTATCTTTGGTTTCTGGTTTTATCATTGACTGAATCACAAAGTACGGTTGAAAATCAATAAAAAGTGGATTTTTTTGGTCTTGTTACAAAGAAATGTGCCTCCGACTCCCTCCACAGATATAAAGGTAGAGAAATATTGGATAACAGATTATATACCAGCTTGTTCTCCAGGTAGTACAATATTTTTGCAATTAAAACTTGAAGGAGCATTTCCCAGTTGTGAGCTCCACAGGGAACAAATGTTATTTGGATATTCCCTTCATTCTGAAGTAAAAAGGAGAAGGTAAGGAGCCTGAAAGACAAGAGGCTACTTTATTTATAATGAGTTAGGTTACAATTTTTTGTTTTGGGGTTGTTTTTGGCAGTACTGGGGTTTGAACTTGGGACCTTATGATTGCTAAGCAAGTGCTATCTACTATTTGTGCCATGCCCCAGCCCTTTTTGTTTTAGTTTATTTTTTCAGATCGGGTGTCAAGCTTTTGCCCAGGCCAGCTTCAGACCACAATCCCTTTCTTCTGAGTAGATGGGATTACAGGTGTACTCTACCACACCCAACTTGAGATAGGATCTCAGTAGCTTTTTTGCTCTAGCTGGCCTGGAATTTGAGATTCTTTTGTCTTTACTTTCTAAGTGGCTAGGATTGTGGATTTGCCACCACACCTGGTCCACATTATGTGCTTTCAACACCTTAACTTAGGTATCATACTTAATTTAATTCTCTTTCCATGTTTAATATGGTAACATCATTAGTGTCTTCTCTGAGGTCTTGGGGAGAAAAGATTGGATCTAGTAACTCATGCCATGGTGAGCTGCCTCCTGTATCATCTTTTGTGACATTTCTATGTACATGAGGTGGTTGCTGGTTGACTCCATTTTAGATGGTCAGAGAAAGAGAATTAAAATCAACAAGCATGTACTGAGTGCACTAAGTGGCCCAACAAGGAATTAGAGAAATTCTTTATAGTGCAGTATTTCTTTTCCATATAAAAATGTTTATGAATAATTAAAAATATTTAATAAGAGTATAGGATAAAAGTTTATTTCTAACCATGTAGATTTGAAATTTCTGACAGTTTAAATGATAAATTTTGAAATAAAGCAGGTAGGAGGCCTGCTCTGATGAATATGTAGGGGCATTCTAGTAATTAATTATTTTATAAGCAATAAAGTGTTGGTTCTACTATTTACAGAAGGCTTTAGACCAGACTCATAGTCATTTACACCCTAAATCTTTGCTTGCTCTCCCTTCCCTCTCCTCCCCTTCCTCTTCAGTCCCCTTTCTCCTCTTTTCTCCCCTCTCCTCCCCTCTTCTCCCTTCTCTTCCCCTCTTCTTTCCTCCCCTCCCTTCCCTCCTCTCTCCTCCTCTTCTTTTCTCTTCTTTCACCCCTCCCCGCTTGGTAGTACTGGGGTTTGAATTCCAGGCTTCACACTTGCTAGGCAGGTGCTCTACCCACTTGAGCCACTCCACCAGCCTTTTTTTATGTTGGGTATTTTTGAGATCGTCTTAAACTATTTGCCTGGGCTAGCTTCAAACCACAGTCCTCCTGATCTCTGCCTCCTGAGTAGCTAGGATTACAGGCTTGAGCCACTGGCACTCTTTCTTTTTTATTTATTTTTGCAGTACTAGAGATTGAACCCTGGCCTCACACTTGCTGGGCAAGTGCTCTACCACTTGAGCTACACCCTCAGACCCCAAACCTCTGCATTTCAATTTAATATTTGGCTTAAAGAAAAACTCTAATTAACCATTCTGCAAGGAAATAAACCAGAGTTCATTTCCTTGGAGAAGCAGTTGATTCCAGAGCTGGGCTAAGAAAAATATAAGATGAGCCTGAATATCTCATATGAGAAAGTAAGGAAGTGCCCCATATCAGAAGGACATAGGAGCCAGTTCAGGCCAAACTGGATAATAGGAGTTTGAAAATGAGTGATGATAGTAATGTTTTATAACCCATTGAATGTAAACAAATGGAATACATAAAGAAGATATAGGAAAAGTTCTTCCTTACAAAGTAGAATGCCACCAAATAAATACAGAAAGAATAAAATTAGAAAGGTCATGCCAGGCACTTCTGGCTCACACCTGTAATACTAGCTACATAAGAGGCAGAGATTAGGAAAATCACAGAAGCCAGCTGGGACAAATAGTTGTGAGACCCTATCTTAAATAAACCCATCACAAAAATGGGCTGCTGAAGTGGCCCAAGCAGTAAGAGTACCTGCCTAGCAAGTATGAGGCCCTTAGTTCAAACCCCAGTGCCACCAAAAAAAAAAAACAGGAAAGGTCGCCATTTTTGCAGTCATCATAGTAATAATTCATTCATTGAAGAATTAACAATGGGAAGTTTGAAAAACAGGATTGATTGCCTGGAGGGTGTAGCTTAGTGGTAGAAGCACGTGCTTAACATTTTTGGGCTGTGGGTTTGGTCCCCAGCACCAAAAAGAACAAAACAAATAGCAAGAATAGGATATATAGTTGTAAAATATCTCCCCATAGGAGAACTTATAATTACAGTGGAAATTATGGGAAATTTATTAGAATGGATAGACAGGAACCCACACCTTTCCTAGGTGATCATCTGATGTGATGAGCCTTTGAAAAAAGACCACCTGTGTGCTGTTCACACCAGAAATGTGTACCTGGAATCTAAACTTGTGGAAACTTCAGACGGACCAAAGTGAAGGACCTTGTAAGACAATTCTTACAATGATCAAGGAGCAATTCCAGATTAAAGGAGACTAAAGAGACATGACAATTGAAATGCATGATCCTAGATTGGCTGGTGTATCAGGGCATAGTATTGTATGAATAATCTCAATTTATTTTTCCTGGTACTGGGGATTGAACTCAGGCCTCTTGTGTGCTAGGCTCTGCCACTTCAGCCATGTCCCCAGCCCTTTTTGCTTTTTGTTATTTTTGAGATAGGGTCTTCCTTTATGCCTGGGCTGACCTATACTGTAATCCTCCTGTTTATGCTTCTCTGTAGCTGGGATGACAAGTACCAGTGCACCCACTGGTGCACTGGTTGAGATGGGGGGTCTTGTAATTTTTTTGCCTGGGCTGACCTTGAGCTTGATCCAATCTCTGCCTCCCAAGTAGTTAGGATTACAAGTGTGACCTACCGTGTCCATCCATTTTGTTTGTTTGTTTTGTTTGTTTTTTGTTGTTTTTTGGTGGAGGTACTGGGGATTGAACCCAGGGCCTCGTGCAATCCATCCATTTTCTTAGTTTTGATAATTGTTATATGGTTACCAAAGAGAATGCCCTTACTTGTAAAATGTTCATGCCAAAATGTCAGGGTTAAATGGGCTTGGTGATGTCTGTAGCTACCTCCGAAATAGTTTAGAAAAGCAGAGAGTAAGCAAATTGGGGAGATTGTTAATTGGTATATCTGGATGGAGGATGTACTAGAGGCATTTGCACTAATCTTGAGATTTTGTAGGCTTGAAATTATTTCAAAATAGTTTTTCTTGAAAACTACCATCTCAGTGGAATTCCTAAATGCTGTAATGAGTAAAGTGCTAGTTTCATCATTAAAATAGTATAATGGGTTCAGAGTCTCCTGGGTCACTAGATCTTCCTTTTATTCCTTTTTTTTTTAACTTGCATTTTGATTAGTTGTCACAAGATGCCTGTTGAGACGAGCTAGGGTCTAGTGGGTAGGCACTTTTAAATATGAAGCTAAAACAAGATCTTTAACACATCCAGTGACTTCACCTTTTTCAATAAAAAATAGAGTTTAGAAAAACAGTTAAGTATACTGATGAAATTAAATCTTAAAAGGTTCACAAAAATAGTACTTAGTTTAGAGCAAGGGTTAAAAGAAATAAGAACAATAGTAACCTGTTTACAGATTACCAGCCTTACTTATGCAAATATTTTCTTTTCTTTCATCTCCTGAGGAACTCTCTATAATATTTTTGTCTGTCCTAGGCCATCTCTTGGCTTCTGCTGGCTCTGATTTAATCTGCTCAGGAATTCTAGTTTTAAAGGAAAGTTGTTAACCCATTTTATACTGTTGCTATGTGAGCTTCTTCATCTTGTTCCTAACATACCTAGGACTTCTAATTCCTAGTTAATGATTTCTCTATTTATGCACTGTCAGTCCATCCTCTTTGTATTCATGGCCTCCTCCTCCCCCTCCTCTTTCTCCTTCTCCTCTCTTCCTCCCTCTTTTCCCTTCCCTCTTCCTCCTCTCCTGCCTCTATCTTCTGGCAGGGTCTCACTATAGCCCAGTCTGATCTTGAACTCCTGATCCTCCTGCTTCAGCCTCCTGAATAATTGGTATATAGGTGTTCACCATCATGCCCAGCTATCCACTGTGTTAAAGAGAAGGTACTTTTCTTCTTCCAAACCACCAAATTAAGTTGATTGTTCTTTAATAAACTTACCGAGGTTTGTTTAAAGTAGTTCAACTGAAACTTTTTTTTTTGAGAATGGCATTTCTGCAATACTGATTCCTCCCCCCCTTTTTGTGTGTGTGTGTTATATATGTGGTGCTGGAATTTTGCTCATATTGGGCAAATCCTGTACCACTGAGCTCCAGCCCTCTTTTCATTTAAATTGGAAATATACAGTGCGTTATTATTACAGTCACCATGCTGTACAGTATATCACTAACATTTCTTCCTCCTATTTAAACTTTGTACACTTTTACCAACATCTTCCCTTTCTCTATCTCACCTCCTTGGTTAAGGATTTCTATATCTTAGGTTCATAAAAGTTACTGCTCTTATAAAATGAGTTGGAAAGTGTTCACTCTTAAATATTTTGGAAGAGGTCATGTAGAATTGGCATTATTTCTTTCCTAAATATTTAGTGGAGCCAGGTGTGCTGGTTCAAGTCTGTAATCCCAGCTACTCTAGAAGATGTGCTAGAGGTGTAGCTCAGTGATAGTGTTTGTCTAGCATGTACAAGGCCCTGAATTCAATCCCCAGCACTGTAAGAAAGGAAGGAAGGAAGGAGGAAAGGAAGAAAGAAACAAGACTTAAATGCTTAAGTAGAACTTACCAGTAAAATGATGAAATGACTTGAGCTGAGAATGGTTTTATTATAAATGTAGTTTCTTTAATTGATATTTCTTCTTGGGTAAGCTTGGTGGTAGTTTGTGTTTTTCAAGGAATTTGTTTCATTTAGTTGTGAAATTTATTGGCAAAACATTTTAAAAGTATTTTCTTCTTACCCTTTTAATGTCTTTTGCATCTGTAGTGATGTCTTCTCTTTGAATCCTAATATTGGTAATTTATATCTTCAAGGTTTTCTTGACTTAAAGGATTTTTTGGTTTTCATTAAATTTCTTGATTTCATTATTCTCCATTGTTTTTCTGTTTTCTCATTCATTGGTTTCTGTTATCTTTATTTTTATTTTATTTATTTTTGTGTGTGTGTGGTACTAGGGTTTGAACTCAGGACTTTGAGCTTGCCGGGCAGGTGCTCTACCACTTGAGCCACTCCTCCAGCCCTATTCTTTCTTCTTAATTCGGTTTGATTTGCTCTTGTTAATTTAATTTGCAAATCCTGACTGCCTCAGTCTCTATGAACTCCCATCTCAGTCTCATCATCTCATCAGGACTGTTGGTCTGGGTTTAGGCTGCCTTTCCCTGCACTGCAGCCTGGAGATTTTCTTTAAGCAGTAAGCTTTGGCAATTGTAGGACTACCCTTGTTTCTCTTTCTGAGATTAATGGTCCATGTTACCAGCTGCCCAGTGTCTGAAAAACAGTTTTCATATATTTTATACAGTTAATTTATGGAAGGACAACTCTCATACTAGTTAATCCTTCATGGATTGAAGTAGAATTTCTGTATGCATTTATACTTTGCAAATTTTTAAAAATAATCCGAAGAAATATAAGACTATAATTTTACCTTATAACCAGTTCATCCCATCTTTTTCTGGATTTGTGTTTACTGTAGAACATATTGACTTCATGATAGTATCTATCCTTAAACTATTTGCAGGTAAGATACAAGTTCAGGCAGGATTTTACAAGTTGTCTTAGTATGGTGTAGAGAATATTTATATGCATTTTTATTATTTATTGACTAATTTTTGCCCCAAATGTAAATGGCCTTCATTCTGAGTATGACAGATAAGACTTGTCTGCCTCTCTCTTTCCAAATACATAAAGCCCTGAAGCATTGGAGAGGCTAAGTGGATTTTTGTTCTTTTAAGTTGCTTTGGGCTTGTTTTCCATCACTAGATGCAGTCTTTGTCTAAATACATTATGTACCTTTCTTGTTATCATCACCTTAACTAAACTCAGTATTCGTTACTATTCTCATCTTGCTCATTTGAATAATGCTTATTTCAGAAGTAAGCATTCACAACATTCATGTGGTTGGTTTCCTTGGTTTTTTTTCTTTTTTAATTCTCTAGGTGGTATAGCTGTATGTTGGGAAAGAAATGCAGTCTGGCCCCACTGAAGGAAGAGCTTCGCATCCAAGGGGTAAGGTTTTGTCATTACCATCCTTCTGTGTCTTTTTTTGAGACAGGGTATGCTATTATAGCCAAGGATGGCCTAGAACTCATTAAGTGTCCCAGACTGGCCTCAAACTTGAGTTCCTTCTTCCCCGGCCTGCTGAGTATTGGGAGTACAGGTGGGGGCCACCATTCCTGGCTGTTACGTGTCTGCTATTTTTTTTTTCCTCTTGATTTGTTTTATTTTATTTTATTTATTGATTGATTTTTGCAGTAATGGGACTTGAACTCAAGGCCTACACCTTGAGCCACTCTGCCAGCCCTTTTTTTTTTTTTTTTTTTTTGCTAAGGGTTTTTTCAGGATAAGGTCTCATGAACTATTTGCCTGGGCTGGCTTTGAACCATGATCCTCCTGATCTCTGCCTCCTGAGTAGCTAGAATTACAGGCATAAGCCACCAGTGCCCAGCTTATTTTATTTTTTTGGTGGTACTGGGGTTTGAACTCAGGGCTTCACACTTGCTAGGGATGAGTTCTACCACTTGAGCCTCTCTGCCAGTCCTTTATGTTGGGTATTTTTGAGATAGGCTCTGTGAACTATCTGCTCAGACTGGCTTTGACTTTTTTGTGTGTGTGTGTGTGTGTTACTGGGGTTTGAACTTGGGGCCTCACACTTGCTAAGCAGGATCTGGCTTTGAACTGCAGTCTGTAAGGTACTGCCGAATAAAGACCATGCCACGTGTGGAAAGGAAAGATTTATTAATCCAGACTGCAGGGCTGTCACTCTTTTCAAGTTCAGAGTGAGGCGGCTTGGCTGAAAATGGGTAGTGGGCTTTATAGGAGGGGCCAAGCCATGGGGGAGGGAGAGAGAGTCTCTGGTCTCCAATTATCTGTGATCACCAGATGGAACAGGTCAACATGCCTGGCTAGTTGAGTAACTGGAAGTTCCTGAGTTGTTTTGCAAGCTGAGAAACAGTCACACAGGGAGAAACAAGCAGTCATAAACCCAGGGGTCTGGTTTTAAGGTGTAGCCTCAGGTCCTTCCACCTGCCCCAAGAATGCCAGGGACCTAACACAATCCTCCTGATCTTTGCCTCCAAAGTAGCTAAGATTATAGGCATAAGCCACCTGTACCTGGCAAATTTTTTGTTTGTTTGTTTTTTATGACAGGGTCTTGCTGTATAGCCTATGCTGGCCTAGAACTCTCTTTGTAGCCCAGGCTGGCCTTGAACTCAAGATCCTCCTGCCTTAGCCCACCACAGTGCTAGGATTACAGGCATGCTGTACCACATCCAGATCATGTGTCTACTTTTTATTTTATTTATTTGTGGTGCTGGGGTTTGAACTCAGGGCTTCACGTTAATAAGACAGGTAAGCTTTACTGCTTGAGCCATACCTGCAGCCCACCATGTATCTATTTTGATGATAGTTTGAATATAGTATTTTCCTTCATACTATAAAACTTTAAATGTGGTGTTTTGTTTCCTTTTTATTTATTTTCACTTGTTTTGAAAACTCCAATTTTATTATTATCCAATTTTAGGGATAAGAGTGACTTCTTACATATTACTAAGACAAGAGCTTCTTTGACACTTAAAATAGAGAAGGTGAGGAAAGATAGGATGAGTAGAACAGCAGAGAGAAACCAAAACTAAAAAATCTGAATATCTTATCACCCTCCCTCCTAAAATCAAGTTTCTTTTTTTTTTTTAATGTTATTGTTTTTACATTTACTTAACATGTGTATAAATTGTTTGCACACACACACACACTCCACCAAAATCCAAATTTCTAGTCATTTTCTCTCTGACATTCTACTCATTTTGTTTTCTTCATAAAACTTTCTTGGTAAATTTGTAAAAGCTACAAAGTAGTTCCTTTTTCTTTGCTAAAATATGATAGAGAAAAGAGATTAGATAGCTGAATATAGCTAGGTTTTGGTTGACTCTCTTTATTAAAAAAGAAGAAAACAAAGAAAAAAAACCTACTTCAATAACTTTACAAATGATTCTCTGAAGAGCTGTTTTATTTGATTCTTCTATTTGGACCTTTGAGCCAAATCTGTAAATTCTCTCTATTGTGGGAGGCAAAAACAACTTTGTCAGGAGGGAGTTATTCATCAGTTATCAAGCAGCTATGTATATCTGTTTTTGGGATAATAATGTTTACTAACTAATAAGAAAAAAAGAGCAACAACTAATTTAACAGAGGCAGCAGCCAGAAGCATTAGTAGAACCATTGCACTTTGACGTGATGCTGTGTTTGTTGGTTTCAGGTTCCTAAAGTCACCTTCACTGAGTTTTGCCAAGGTCGCACAATGAGATGGGCCTTAGCCTGGAGTTTTTATGATGATGTCACAGTACCAGTAAGTAGAGACTGTTTCTGCTTCTCTACATGCTTGCACATAGTGGGGTTTAGTAGGTTACAAATGAACTAAATCTGTATTGTCCCATTTCCCCAAAGTTTGCCCTTAAATGCTTAGGACAAAATGGGAAGTGGTTATAAAGTGGGCACAGTCCTGGAAGTCTGACTGTGGTGGCTGTGGAACCTTCCTCAGTGGGTTTGTGCAACATAGCGATTCTTGTTCAGTAGACAGAAATGTATCTTTTAGGATTAGACATGGCAGGTAATGTATGTGTAGGAACACATGCACTTGTGGACATTCCTCAGGAATGGAAATTGAAGTCTGAAGTCTGTTTCTTTGCTTTTGTCATTATTGCTTTCCTAGGGAAACTGCCTTCTGGTGTTCCTAGGAACTTAGAAGTTGCTGTTTTGGTTGCAGCCTTTCTCTCTCTCTATTTTATTTTATTTTTTGAGTGCCGGGGACTGAACTGGAGCCTTAACATGATAGTCAAGTATTCTACCCCTGAGCTATACCCCCCTCTTTTTTTTAAATGTGTAACACTTAGGAATAATTTTATTTTAGTGGAGGGTTCTATCTTGCCTTTAAGATTACCAGTAGAGGGTTTGGAGGCATGGCTCAAGTGATAAGAGTTCAAGGCTCTGAGGTCAAACCCCAGTACTGGAAGGAAAAAAAAAGGTTACCAGTAGAATATTGACCAGTTTTGAAGATGGGTGATAGGTCATTATCCTATTCTTTCTACTTTGTATGCTTTGTTATTCTCTAGAATAAAACAGAATGAACTTTTTTTTTTTTTTTTTGGTGCACCATTCCTGGAGGTGCTGCAATACCAGATCAATGCGTGGAGTGGACGGAGCAAGCTCCTATTCCATCTCCCTGTTCCAAAAATCCATTTAATATATTGTCCTCGAATAGAGGATGTATCAGATATTAAACTGATAAGAACAGATACTACACTTGATCTTAGCCAAAAGGCCGAGAAGCAATAGAATGAACATTTTTTTAAAAAGATGTGATCTCACATGTCTTTCTGTCCTCTTCACTGTTGTATGTAAAGAACAATGCCGATGAAACCAAGCATGGTGGTGCATGCTCATGAGCTCAGAATGCTGAGGCAGGAGGACCTTGAATTTGAGGCCAGCCTGGGCTGCACAGTGAGACCCTATCTCATAAAACAAACAAACAAACAAACAAAAATCCTCCTAGCTGACCAGACTGAAAGGTTTTTTGGCTGCATGGGGAGGTGTTGATGGAACAGAATGTGTTTGTTCTCACACTTTCCTCCAAGAGTGGCTGGCTTCTTGTCTGAAGCCACCCACCTTACGCTCATGCACTGCTACTCATCGAGTGAGCCTTCTTTCCATAGTATATATTGGAGGCCTAGTGCCTGCTCCCACAAGTCTCCATCCCCTGTCCTTACAGCAGACCTGATCTGGGGACTTACCTCCTAAGTTCTTGACTTTGTGATCTCTAAATCCATCTTAGATGTTGCTGTGTCTCTAGGGCAGAGGAGTAGAGACCTGTGGAAGGACTGGGGAACCCTTGCAGGTGCTACCTTGTTTCTGCAAACATGAGCTCTAATTTGAGACTGAGTGCCCTTCCTCCACCAGGCATCCAGGCGTGCTGCTGTATTGAAATTGTGCCCCTGTTTCAGTGGTCTTTCCCATGGAAACCTAGACTCTGGGCGGTGTGGTAGGGTTCTTCGAAGTTAGTGTTTGAAATAGTCACTGGGGTAGGATTGATCCTAGCCTGTGGGAGGCAGAGGTAGTAGGAGGATGGAAAGTTTGAGGTCAGCCTGGGGCAACATAGCAAGTTCAAGGCCAGCTGAGCAACAAAAGAAGGAAAAAAAAAAGTCACTGGGTTAAAAAAAAAAAAACCTGCTTTTCTGACCTCCACTGAGAGATTATCCTTTCTGTTGCTTCCTAAAATACCAGGACATTCACAGCAGGTGGTTAAAATCCCTAGCAGTGCTCTAAGTTAGCCCTGCACAGTAGGGAAAGCTGTTAGGAGCATGGAGCAGCACCTGATTCTGCCTGCTTCTGCTTAGCCTGCTGCCCATATTTGTTAACACTGCAGCTGGAAGAGACCAATCTACCTTGCCCAGTTGGGTTAGTACCTATTGCAGATCCAAGTATCACAGGGTGCAGTGTTTCTACATGAAGACAATCAGCTTGTTATGAAAATGAACCCTTGAGCATTCCTCCCTCTCTTTTAGAGCATCCTGTGTTGTCTGTTCATAATGTCCAACCATCAAAGAATTCCTCTGCCTAAGGGCCTCAGATTCCTCCTTCCCCACCACTACTGCCACCCCTAAGCTGTTAATAATGCATTCCCAAGTGTTCCATTAGATGCACTTAAACTGCTAGGGAAAAAAATGGTAATTTCTGATTTGTAGTAACCCAGCAACAGTTTCTTAGCACTGGTGCCCTTGATCAGCATCCGCTTTCCCTGGGGTAGTCCTAGGTTACTCATGAGATTTTGGTTTGACCTTCTTGGTTCCACTTCCCTCTACTTACACATCTTCCTATCTCTGCTTTTTTGAAAAGCTCACCTGACTTTCCCTCTCTTGCTCCTGTTGGGGGTTGTGAAGAGGGAGGATGCTGTTTTAAACAAGGAGAGGAAGCAGAGAAATAGAGCTAGTTAAGCAGAAATATTGACCTACTTCCCCACCCCCACCCCTGCCATTTTAGGATAGATGTGCAAGTTACTATGGCAACTTCTGTTTTCACTTATCTCAGGCCCTCTGTATCCTTTCTGTTGGTGCTGAATGCTGAACAATTCTAATTCACTAGTGATTCAAGTGCCTCCACTAAGCCCATTGCCATTGTCTGGATATATTTTAGCAACAAAAAAAAAAAATGGGTCCTAGTGTTGATAGAATTTTTGTTCCATCATTTCTGCTGCTGCTGAATGTAAGAAAGCCTATTGTGAGGACCCTGCTTTATAGGATTCTAACAAGCCACTTAGCCTCTTTGTCCCAGTTCTCTAATTGCTTAAGGCAGTATTTTTGCTTTGCTTTGGTTTGCTTTAAGAAACTTTGACATTTGTTAAAAAAAAAAAAAAAAAGGGCAGGGAGGACTACCACATAGCTCTAGTAAGTTGTATACGCTTGGTATGAGCATTGCCCGGGAACTCTGGTTTATTCTCCTATGTTCAAGGCATTTCCCTTAAGTCTGGGCCTTTCCTGTCTAGGGAGTGATAACCAGAAGGCTTTTTGGAGACCAGATGAGGGGAGGGGAGAGGTCAAATTAGATAAGTTTATGAGTTTTAGAGCTAGGGTCTCCTAACAATGCTCTACTTATGCTCTGTAGGTTTTCCAACCAATACCAGATAGCTGAGAGATTCCAAGTAGATACCCCAGGATTGACACTTGGGGGTTGATACCAGGTTGGTACTTTAGGTTCACTGTCTTTTTAACTGGAGCTGATCTGCTCTTATCATTTAGGTGTTGATTTTATTTATTAAAGGTGTTCTGTTGTTAAGAAATGGAAGCCCTGAGTTTAATCCTCAGTACTGGGGGGAAAAAAAAAAAGAAATGGTTTAAGAGCTGGGGGTATAGCTCACTTAGTGGTAGGGTATGTACTTAGCATGTGTGAGGCCCTCGGTTTGATTCCCAGTACAAAAAAAAAAGAAAGAAAGAAGGGCGGGGGGGGGGGAGGAAGGAAGGAAAAGAAAGGAAAGGAAGGAAGAAATTGTTTAATTGTTTAGGAACCAGCAATACCAGGCTGTACTTTAACCTACAAAACAGAGGTGATGTTTAAGAAGCTGAGCCTTGAGCAAAATCAAAGCTAAAGACCCTCTTCTTAGTTACTTTCTTAAGTATGATCTTTTTTGTGATAATGACAAAGAAATAAGGCCTTTTTCAATTCCTTAGGAATTAGGTTTTTTCCTTTTTTTTCTTTGCAGTACTGGGGCTTGAACTCGGGGCCTACACTTTGAGCTACTCCACCATCCCTATTTTTGTGAAGGGCTTTTTGACATAGGGTCTCTTGGAACTATTTTCCCCAGGCTTGCTTCGAACCACGATCCTCCTGATCTCTGCCTCCTGAGTAGTTAGAATTACAGGCTTGAACCACTGATGCCAAAGGGAAATATATGTGTGTAGTTACAATTATCCCTTTTAGATAGGTAGCATTCAGCAGTGTTGGTGAGATATAGCCATCCTTCTCAGCACACCAGCTGTCTGTATCCGGGCCAAGTGGTAATATTAGTGCCTAGACTCTTTCTCCAAATAGTTGTGGCCTGTGCTGAATGCCATTTCAAAGCATTCTGCCAGTTTCTGTAGGACCTGGGGCAGTTGCAGTTCAGAGGGTGGCAGAACAGCAGGGACCCCAGTGCCCGTGGCCAAGAGCACCCTTTTCCCCTTGAGGCCTTTTTTTTTTTTTTTGAGGCCATTTTAGAAGCTGCTTTACCAAGACAAGGGAGCTCAGTAGCTCTCTGGCAAATGGCTCTCTCTTCAACTCTCCTCTCCTCCTCTCCCTTCCCTTTTCCTCCTCTTTCTCCTCTTTTCTCTGTTCTAGTAGCTACCACAGAGAACATAGTGGTTGTGTGGAGCCTGTGGCTTCATTATGTGTTTTTGACTCACTGTTCATACTGTGCATCCTTGTATTTGTAACAGGGTATAAAACTGACCTAACACCAGGGATCTTTGAGATCAACTTTAAATCAGTTTCTTAAGACCCAGTCTTGGGGCTGACTGAGTTGTTCAGGTGGTAAGAGCCTGCCTAGCAAGTGTGAGGCCCTGAGTTCAAGTGTGAGGCCTTGAGTTCAAACGTTGGTGCTGCCAAAAAATTTTTTTTAGAAGTCATCCGAGACCTGATCTTGTATGTTACTGTGGTCCTGCCAAATAAGTATTTTCAACACATACAAGAGAGGACTGGAATGATTGGTATAGGCCATGCTTAAGTTAATCATTAGTCATTTAAAAACCTTGCTGGAGAATTTCTGCTATATAAGTTATCTCTTTTTTGTCTCTTTTTTTTCCTCCAGTACTGGGGTTGAACCCAAGGCATCAAGCATTCTAGGCAAGCACTCTACCACTTAAGTTGTACCCACAACCCTTTTATTTGTATTTTGTTTTTGAGATAGGGTCTTGCTAACTTTGCTTAGATTAACCTTGATCTCTGGGTCTTTGTACCTCTGTTTCTGGGTAGCTAGAGTTGCAGGCACGCACCACCCCACCCAGCCTGAATGATCAGTTTATAGTAGAGTAAAACTAAATTCAAGACAATCCCGAGAGCATGCATGTTATGTGTGTATTAAAATAATCCATTAGAAATCTTCAGAAATGCTATAGTTTGGGAGGCTTAGGGGTATAGCTCTGTGGTAAAGTGTGTGCTTAGCATATTCAAGGCCCTGAGTTTGATCCCCAGCACAGAGAGAGGGATGGAGAGAGACAGAGAAAAAGAGACAGACCGTATTTGTTGATCTATCATTGTATATGGGAAACTGGGGAGCCAGAGTGCAAGGTAGAAGACCCATACTTGAATAGGAAAACTTTCATTTCAGTCCTGAGTTGGCAAGATAATGAGTTAATTCACTGCTTCCAACCTCCTTATCAGTTCAAGTAGATCCTTGATAGAGCTTTTGTTAGGTTTGGTGAGGGTGTGCTTTTCTCACTTTTAATTTCTAGAAATGGTGAAGAGTACATTCTGTCTTTTGGAAAAAGAGTATTGCAGGCCAGCTTTAGCATAAGAAATGAGAAACAGCAATACTTTGCTGGTTAGAATTTGTGATCACAAGTGATTACTCCATTGCCAGAAGACACATGAGAAGAGATAATGAAGGGCTATCCTTTTTATCATACTTATAGATGACCTTTGGGTGCTGGATTGGGCTGTTAGGGATTGTCCCATTACTGTAAGCTGGCTATGGTAAGGACCCAGGATGTTGGGAAGTAAAACAGGAAACCTACTTTTTTTGGTTTCCATCATCCTCCCATACACTTCCATCTTTCTTCCTCCCCATCTTAATATAATTTTCGTTTTTTTTTTTTTTTTTTTTAGAGCAGTACTGAGGATTGAACTCAGGGCCTCACGCTTGCTAGGCAGGTACTCTGGCACTTGAGCCAGGTCCCCAGCCCTTAATATAAGTCTTTTTTTTTAAGCTTTTCAATGCAGTGTTATGCTGTCAGTACACTACAGGAATTGTCTCTTGTGTTGGGTGATTGAGTGATAATAATACTGATGCCTTAATGTCAATATGAATTTGTTTCATCTTGTCTGAAACATAATTGAACAAATTCAGGCTCAGACAAGTCTTAGAGTTCACTATTCATTTCTCAAGAGCAATTTCTTACACACATGAACACCCTTTGTTTTTGGTCTTCTGAGACAGGGTCTCACTATGAAGCCCAAGCTGGCCTCAATTTTTTTTTTTTTCCAGTTGGTCTTTCTCCCACCCCCTACCCCTCACCCCCTTATCTTCTTCCTTTTTTTTCTACAGTTATGGAACACTTGCTTAGCATTCAAGAGGCCTGGGTTTGATTCCCTGTACCAAAGATAGATAGATAGATAGATAGACAGACAGATGATAGATAGATAGTTTCTGAAAATTCTGAAAGAAATTTTCTTCTATTCTTTATAGATTCGATGTGGGGGTGCTGGTTAGTTATGCAAGGCCTCACCAAGTAATTGGATCTTGCTGAGTTCGTGCATGTGTTGTGTGTCATTGTTGCTAGGCAGAACTTAAGTTAACAGCAGCACAGTTGCGAGATTCCTATTTGCAGGAAGTGATCTTCAAACCTGACCATTGTTTTCTCTTTTGAGCCTTTTGCCTTTTCCTTGCTTACTCATTTTGCCCGGACTTCAGAATTGTTTTAATTTTTTAAAGTTCTAATTTTGTCAGTAAGTACTAGTCTGCCTTTTAAGCAGTGTCCATATTATGTATGGTCTTTGCCAAAAGTTTTTTGTTTTTATTTTGTTTTGTTAGTTTTAAAAGTCCTGGTTACTCTTTTTTTCCCATTTTTTATTAGCATATATTAATCGTAAAAAGGAATTTTACTGTGATATTTCTATATCTGCATATATTGTACTTTGGTCAAATTAACCCTTCATTACTCTTTTTTATTCCCTGTTCCCATCCCCACCCCCTTTTTTTTTTTTTTTAACAGTTTTTAGTAGGTGTCCTTATGCTTGTCATACATAGATATAATACACTTGATCAGCTAGTGCCCGTAGCTCATGCTTATCATCCTAACTTATTTGGGAGGCCAAGATCGGGAGGATCATGGTTTGAAGCCAGCCCAAACAAATAGTTTTTGAGACTCCAACTCCAAAATAACCTGGACAAAATAGACTGGAAGTGTGGCTCAAGTGGAAGAGTGCTTGCTTCACAAGTATGAAGCGCTGAGTTCAAACTCCGGTCCCACCAAAAAAATAAAATGCTTCAATCATAGCCATCCCCCCATCACTCTCCTTTCCCTCCCTCCCCTTGCTGGTTCCCTGCAAGCAGTCCCATATTTATGTTCATTTTATACATATACATATATATATATCCAAAAGTCATTTTTTAAATATGCAGTACAGGACTGGAGATATAACTCAAGCAGTAAAGTGCCTGCCTACCAAGTACAAAGGCCTGAGTTCAAACTCCAGTACCACCAAAAAGAAAAAGAAAACTTTGTAGATTAAGACAAGGTGAATTTGGTCAAAATACATTATATGCATGTATGTAAATATCACAGTGAAACCCTTTTATACAATTAATTTATGCTAATAAAATTTTTAGACTGGTGGAGTGGCTCGAGTGGTAAGAGCACCTTCCTAGTAAACATGAAGTCCTGTGTTCAAACCCCATGCCGCCCAAAATAAATAAGTAAATAAAGATAAATACAAATATTATATAGAACATTTCCAATTTAAAGAAATAAAATTAAGTACACTGGTGCCATTTGGGTTTAAAATGGAACTTGAGTCCCTCTAGTGGGTAGATGTAATTTACCTTACAAGCTTGAGATAGAAAGGATGATAATAGTCTGAATTTTCATGGCACCAGCTTTCAAATCCAGTGTTCTGGCTAGCCACTGGCTTGGCCCTGACCTCAGCCAAGACTCAACCACATGATTTTAGCAGCCTGGTCATTCCTAACATGTAGTCTCACAAGCTGCTGTATTTAAAGCTTCAGCAGGTGTAAACTCAACTACAAGTTGGTGATTTTATATCATGCAGGTCTTTATGGAAAAGAACACAGTGTCCCAGAGTCCTTGAGTTGCCGTGTGCAAGTCTGCTTGAGGCACAACAGATAGGCAAGACCATACACCTTTCATCCCTACAAAAGGGATCTGTACTGATGGCTGGAACACAGCCAGCTGGTATCTTTGGAAAGAACTTGTGTTGACATAGCCTGTATCTTAGTTTTTCCTTTTGTAAAGTGGAGAGATGATAAAACAATTGTGCAGGGCTGTTTTAAGTATTGGTAATAACCTGTGCAAGGGTTATTCCTAATATTAAAAGCACAAAGACTTTTAGTGCTTTTTGTGCTTTGTGCTTTTAGGTGCTGTGTGATAAGAAGCAGAAGTCCTAGAAATTTTCCTAGTTGAGTCTGTTATAATATGTGGGATTTAGTTAGGCACAAGTGGCTCACTCCTGTAATACTAGCTACTAGAGATCAGGAGGATTACCATTTGAGGCCAGCCTGAAGAAAGAGTTTGAGACCCTGTCTCGAAAATACCCAACACAAAAAAAGGGGTGATGGAATGCCTCAAGTGTTAGAGTGCCTGCTTAGCAAGCATGAAGCCCTGAGTTCAAACCCCAGTATCAACAAACAAACAAAAAAAACCATGAGATTTAATTATTTGGGTAACTTTCTTCTTTTGCTCTACACACTTCTTTTTTCTTTCAGTCACCACCAAGTAAACGAAGAAAATTAGAGAAGCCAAGGAAACCCATTACATTTGTAGTGTTGAAGTCTGTGATGAAAGAATTATCCCTCAAAGCTTCATCTTTGGGCTCTGAGACAGTGGAAGGCATAATAGTTGTGACAACGTGGATAGAAAAAATTCTCACTGACCTGAAGGTATGTGGCTAAGCATGTTGATAAAGTGCTTGTAATAATCTTTTTTTTTAAAGGGAGTTTGACAAGAAAGGAAAAGTGATTTGCTATAAAATTCTGTCCTCCACACAGGTCCAGCATAAACGAGTTCCCTGTGGAAAAGAAGAAGTTAGCCTTTTCCTGACAGCCATAGAAAACTCCTGGATTCATTTAAGGAGAAAGAAAAGAGAGCGAGTGAGACAACTGAGGGAGGTTCCTCGAGCCCCTGAGGATGTCATCCAAGCCTTGGAGGAAAAAAAGGCCACTCCCAAAGAGTTGGAAAATAGCCAAGTTGTGGCCCAGGGTTCCCAGGAGAATGCCCTGTGTGGGCCTGCTCTACCTGAAGACCAGTCTGCCACTGTTGGTAGCCAGGAGTCACTGTCTCAGGAGGAAACCCCAGAACCTATGGAAGATGAAAGGAATGATGAAAAGGGAGGGATGGAGAGTGTGGAAAGCTGCAAAGGCTCTAGCAATGGAGCCCAGGACCAAGAAGCTTCTGAGCACTTCAGCAACCCAGTGGCTGAAAAGGGGAAGCACCTCCAAGGAGTAGCTGGACATTACCTGTTCAAGTGTTTGATCAACGTTAAGAAGGAAGTAGATGATGCCTTAGTTGAAATGCATTGGGTTGAAGGCCAGAATAGGGATTTGATGAACCAGCTTTGTACTTACATACGTAACCAAATTTTCAGGCTTGTTGCTAGTTAACTCTAAACTTCTTGAATAATAGAAAAGTGTCTATGTGGAACTGGAGGTGTAGCTCAGGTGGCAGAGCGCATGCTTAGCTTGTGGGAGGCTCTGGGTTTGATCCCCAGCACCTTTAAAAAAAAAGGGGGGGGTCTATATCTGTGGGGTGGCAAGAGGAATTTCACCACTGATTCATTAGTAGCATTATGTAGAATCATTTTAGGAAGCAGAAACCAGTTAATTCATTTTACACACACGTACCTTTTTTAAGTTACAGGGAATTGTATTTCAGGAGGAAGAATTATGGTTATCAGCAACAACAAAAAGCTGTCAGTAAACTCATGAGGAATTTAAAGCTGACTCATGCCAGTCACCTCAGCTTTGGATTAATTCTCTGAGGCCTTAAGGGACTGTGTGGCATCTGGTCTAGGTCAGTGTTACCCAGGACATCAGAGTCTCTGTCACCTGGAGTTGCTTTGTGAGGGGGATGGCACCCTTATCTTCCAGTGAAGACAGTTCAGCAGGGCAGAGGCCCAAGATCCCTCTTGTAGAGTCACCTTCAAGATGGAATCTACTTGCCATGGGTTCATTTGATTGATTAACCCTGCTTCAGTCTCTAGAAAGGAGCCAGTCCCATGGTGAATGGCAAGAGAGTCATGGAAAGAAGTCTTGGTAAGGCTGGGGAGAAGGGCCAATCTGGGGAGCACCTAGGAAACCATGCATTCCCAGCTCATGGCCATTTTGATGTCCATTTCAGAAGCAGAATTAGGTAAGCAGAACTCCAAGATGTGACTGAGACACAGCAAAATGCACCCACACCCCACCTGTTCAAAGTACCAATTTATAGCAGTTTTACTGTTCTATATTTGTTTCAACATGTGAAGTGGAGCTTATTTTGTTTTTAATATAAGAATAGTCAAAATTAAAAACTGTCAATCCTGTTTGAATCCTGGTGCAGAGGAAAATAGTTTCTTGGCTTTGACTGGGTAAGTGGTTAATGATAAAAGTGGGAAAGGGAGCCGGCACCAGTGGCTCACACATGTAATCCTAGCTACTTGGGAGGCTGAGACCAGGAGGACCACAGTTCAAGACCAGCCCAGGCAAATGGAGAGTCTCCATCTCCAAAATAACCAGATCAAAATGGACTGGAGGGGTGGCTCAAGTGGTAGAGTGTGTGCTTTGCAAGCATGAAGCCCTGGGTTCAAATCCCAGTCCCTCCAAAAAAAAAAAAAGAAAAGGAACAAGGTACTATGTGTAGTAGGTTAGCTTAATTTCTTGTCTTATGTGGGACTGGATGTGTGCCTCAGTGGTCGAACACTTGCCTACCATACATGAAGCCCTAGGTTCAAACCCAGCAGGTAGTCTGGCACTGATGGCTCACACCTGTAATTCTAGTTACTGGGATATTCAGGAGGCAGAGATCAGAAGGATCACGGTTCGAAGACAGCCCAGACAAATAGTTTAAGACCCTATCTTGAAAAAAACCCATCACAAAAAAGGACTGGTGGAGTGGCTTAAGGTGTGGGCCCTGAGTTCAAACTCTGGTACTGCGAAATAAATAAATAAATGATGAAAGTTTCAGGTAACTTGTTGCTGACCAAATACTACCTTTTGTGGCTCCCCTTGTAATCCATGCAGGTTTACCTGCTAGCACTGGAGAATTTTAGGCCAAGGTAACCATTTCTTCAAAGTAGAATTCTGCAGGTGCATATGGGGGAGTCTCGTTTTTTCTCTCGGTGTCATGGTAAGCATCTCCTGTGACTTTCACAGTGTGGCTTTACGCCAGCAGCCTAGAGTTAGGTTGAGACTGAAATCTCTAAGTTCAGAGTCCTCTGGTATCCTGAGAGAAGATGGGCTGAGTAGTAGTTAAGGCATCCATTTGAGAAGTGGCTGTTGGTTAGGGCAGAAAGCTGGTTCAGCAGCTTAGCTTGGTGGCAGCTTGATCAGGCCTTCAGCCTGTGGCAGTTGAGGTAGAACTGAGAGAGAGCATTTAACCTGGCCCATGGGCCTCCAGAGAATCTGTAAACCTCCTACAGTCACTTTTATTTTTGTTTTTCCAGTACTAGAGATTGAATCCAGGGCCTTGCAAATGCTAGACAATTATTCTGCCACTTGATCCATTCCCCCGCCCCATCCTTTTGTTTTTGAGGCAGAGTCTGGTTACCTTTGGGCTGGCCAAAACTTGTGATCTTCCTTTTGCTGCCTCCCAAGTAGCTGGGATTATAGGTGTGTACCACCACATCCAGCTCCTCCTGCAGTTATTTCTAAAAGCTTCATGAGTATATGTGGGTTGTTTTTTTTTTTTTCCCCTGGGGAGCAGGCCCCTGACAGAGAGAGGTCAGTAACCCATTAAGGATAAAGAACCATTATTCTAGTCATTCCCATTCATTTGAAAGAATAGGAAACCAATGCCCAGGGTCACACAAAACCAAGTTTCAATCCCAGGTATTGGATTCTCTCTATCTAGTAATTTTTGGCTGTGCTGATCCATGCCATCATACTATACTTTTTTTTTGGAACTGAGGTTTGAACTCAGGGCCTCACACTTACTAGGCAGTGCCTGAGCCACTTCACCAGCCCTTTTTTGAGATAGGGTCTCACGAACTATTTGTCCCAACTGGCTTAGAACTGTGATCCTCCTGATCTCTGCCTCCTGAGTAGCTAGGATGGAGGTGTGAGCCATAGACACTTGGCTAACCCTTGTTTTCTTGATGAAATTTCAGGATTTTGAATTACATGGCAACTACTCATTCAGATAAGTAGTCAATAAGTGTTTCGTTATAAAAAGGTAGCAAATGCTCAAAGATTTAGGGGGAAGATGAGCTAGAGCTGTGGCTCAGTGGTGAAACACGTGACTAGCGTGTATGAGATTCTGGGTACCATCCCAGCATTGGAGATCTCAACCTTGTCTAACAACCAGTATTGGCATTAGTGTGTTTCCTTCCAGTCAGTCTTTCTGTAGGTGAGCTGTGGGGGAAGGGACCAACTTTAATCATATTTATTCTGTATGTTTGGCTTTATATTGTACATTTTTTTTCATTTAATGTACCAATACATTATGCCAGTAGTGTATATATTATACTCCTTGCCTCTTTAAAATGTGCTTCAGGCACAGTATTGGCCTTTGTTCAAGTCTAGTTCTAGGGATTCTCAGAAAGTACTCTGTTTATCTGGAGACACGAAAGTTGTGTCTGTGTCTGTGTTTCAGTCCCAGGTTTAAGGAGGTTGTGTAGGTGTTAAGGTAATGATGCTAGAATTTTAAAAAATAATACATGACAGGGTAGTGTCTACAGTCTTTGAAAAACTAGAACTGTGAGTGTGTTCTTGCACTTGAGTGTCATTTCCTTCTCCGAGAATAGTTTATTTCTTAAACTGCGTAATGAGAGGACATTGAAAACATAAAAGGACATCTAAAAATTGTTCAGGTTTTGCATCTGCTTTATGATCATGTGATGTGTGATAGCATATCTCCAATATAGGGGGAAAGGAACTTTGTTTCTTTAAAGAAATAGGTTACTGACCCATGGGTCACAGTGTTGAGTGACACTCTCCTTAAGTGTCTGGAGGTCAAGTTCATGTTGATGTTGGTGGATTGATAATGAAATTAAGTCTTTGTGGTATTAAATTCTATTCTGGTCCCTAGAATTGGCTTCTGATCTTTTGATAGCTAAAATGAGAACAGAAGCTGAGCTTGTTTTCTGAGGCGAACTAAAGCTGCTTCTGTTCTTTGGAATCTGCTTTGGTTTCATCAGTTTGATTCCTCCACCCCACATCCTCATCCAACTGTTCCCACACCATGAGCTTTGCTACATGTCCTGACAAGAGTTGGCAACTCTCTGGAGGAGTTTCAGCTAATCTTAAGGGGTTGTATTAATTACTGTAGCATATGGTTTTAAGAATATAAAACCTTTTTTCTTGATGGAAATTTTTTTTTTTTGGTGGTACTAGGGTTTTAATTTGGGGCCTCATGCTTGCTAGGCAGGTGCTCTACCACTTGAGCCATACTGTCAGCTCTGGAAATCAAATCTTATAACATGATTAGCATACCAGTTTCTGAGCTCTAAGAGGAGTAAAACTGCAAGGTGTGGAAAAGATGCAAAAACCTGTGGAAAACCTACGATCTTTTCAGAGATAGTTAATGAATGCCAGGCTGGCTGGAGGGCCCCACTCCTACCACCACACACATACACACATTCATTCTCTCTCTCTCTCTCTCTTTCTCTCTCTCTCTCTCTCTCTCTCTCTCAACCTGCAGCACTTCCTTCTGTAGCCACATGGGGGCACAGTTGGCCCTTTTATCAAGTGCCTTAACTTCACCATAGAATGGATAAAATTATGTCCATGGAATTTTCTTGAAATAATCCACTTGCAGATAAGTATTTTTATGTGAACAAGTTCATTTTCACATTAAAAACTTTGAAAAATAAAAGTAAAAGTACAAAACTCCACTCATGTCTTTTTATCTGATAGAATTCCTTTTAATCTTTTAGTGGTTTATATATAATAGTTCCAGTTGAGTTTTTTTTTAACTTACTTTTTTTCTTTTTCTTTCTACTTCAGAATACATTCAGATTGGGGCAGTTTTTTGGATTAACTTTTTGTTGGTATCTAGTTAATGGGGATACTGGAGGGGAAATGTTTAATGATCTTAAAGCAGTAACTTCTCAAAAACTGTTCTAGGATGAGTAATATGGACAGCTCCTAGAAAGAAATGGTTTTCAATATTCTTTTGTTGGTCTTGCATTTGAATTTTATCTTGTTGGTAGATAAGCATGTAATGTGGGGGTTTGAAGTTTTGGGGTTTTTTTTGGTGTTGCTTGAGAGTAAACCCATACAATATGCTAGGCATGCATGCTACCACCAGCCTGCATCTTAAGCCTGTATGATGTGTTGTTTATATGAAAAGTTGGGAAGGTTGGGGGTACAGCTCAAGTGATAAAGTGCTTGCCTAGTAAGTGCGGGGCCCTGAGTTCAAACCTCAGTGCTGGTGGGGTGGAATGGTAAAGATCTGTTTTGTGTATATTATGTATGTTAGCTGGGCCTTGTTTCTTACAATGGGTGTTTCTGGGTAGAACATGAATATTACTAACCTAGGGGTGTGTGAACTCAAAGAAAAAGTTCTGTATACTCATATTATATGGCACAGAGTTTTGTGGTGGCCACTTCACAGATTGGCCTGTTAGGAGGAAGATTGTCCAGTTTGAAAAACTTTTAAGTCACAGCCCTTTGGAAGAAGGAAAGTCTTAAAGATGCCAGACAGGGGTTGTTCTAAGGACAAGGACATGACCACATCACGTATAGGGAAGCTGTTGGTCAGGAGATTTTGTTTGCCCTATCCTAGTCATTAACAAAATGAATTGGCTTTTGTGCCCCAGAGCAGAGCACTGGTGGTTTTGAACCTTTTTAATCATCCTAAATTCATAAGCTGCATGAACACCAGCACAATACTAGAGCACCCTGCATGGGGCACCTGCTAGTTACAGAGCCTCACTTGTATACCAGAGCTCCTGCTCTACTCTGGAAAGACATTCAGATCCTCTGCTGTGACTCACCCAAATGACTAAAACAGTGGTTTATTTCTTTAATTGCTGGTTGGAACAGCTAATGCTGCCTTTTGTAGGCTGTGCTTTTACTCTGGAAAACTGTTGTGACTGAGTGAAGACCTTGTACCTCCAAATGCCCTTTGCCATGTAGATTGTCTGCCTGTCTCAGTCAAGCCGAAACACTGGGGCCTCAAGGCTTTCCTTAGGGAAGTAGATGATCATGTACTCATTAGGAATGGGAGAACTGAGCAAGAGTAGGAAGTATAGAGCAGAAAGCATAGCTGCAGTTGGCAGAAGTGGCTTGATGTGATGCGCTGAAGAGGACAAAGGATGTATAAATCTAAGGCACTTTTCCAGGTGCCCTAATGGAGTAGAAAATGGCAGTTCATTAGCCCAGGGTTCACAGTGCAGTTCCACTCTTTAGATAGGACATGTCAGTCTAAGTCTTGTCTTCTTCACGTAAGCTGAGAGCTGTGTGCTCCACAGAGTGAGTGGAGCTTTGGTAAGAGGACTGGCACCTGGGGGAGTGCAGAAACAGAGCCACCTCCGCAACTTCTCATCTCTCCTGCTGCCTGGAGTTTTTGACTTCTGGTCAGAAATTCTTCTACCAGTGGACTTACATGGGAAGGCTGAGACCTCATGTCTATGGTGGCAGGTGTAGAGTACTACCTATGGGT